TTGGCTCTGGACTCTTCCAGATGCCTCTGGCTATTTTCTCTCTTACGCACACTAAAATCCTTCCCCTTAACCATACCATGGAATGGTCTCGGCCACATCAGCAGTTTCTTTACTGTGTCCCCTCCCATACGTTAAAGTAGTGACTTCATTCCTGCCCTTCTGCGGCATCTGAACACGCGGGCAGACTGTACGTGTCTATCACAGTGTCTGTCCCATGACCTGAGCTGGGAACGTCAGCCGGAGGTTCAAGTGTTTGAGACTTCAGAGGGCAGAGTCCAGCCGGAGGAAGTGGGTTGCTAGGTGGAGGGTCTTGGTTAATCTTCCTGCCCCACCTCTGTCCCCAGATCTGTCCAGATGTGAGCAGGCCATGACGGACTGCATATCCAAACTGTGGGGCCAAAGAAACTTTTCCTCCCTTCAATTTGTCGATGTGATGAGAAAAGAAACCCACGTAGCATTAATGTCCAGGGTTCTAAAGAATTTAAAGACGTCCCCTGCCACTGGGGATGAAGGGAGATGGGCAAGGGTGAGCTAGAGGGTGGGTGTTCATAACTAACAATGACTTTACATACATTTTGACTGCTTGCGCAAGCATGGGTCTTGACTACAGAGACAAAAGAAGCAGCCGCTGGCTTTCTTTGCATTAACTCTGCTATTTGTGCACAGGAGCCCTTTGTCCTCCTGGAGCTGAGCTGCCACACTTTTGGAACCATGACAATGACCAAACTCTGCAAACAGATGGGGTGTATTCAGTGTTCCTCTGTGAGGGCTACCGTGCTATATCAGAAGGTACAGGGTGCCCTGGTCTGACCTCACAGCATGGTGCAGGAGGGGAGGGGAGAGGAGGGGAGGGGAGGTTGTGGGAAGGAAACAGACACAGGGGAGCAGCAGTAAAGCTATAATCACCAACCCTGGCCTCCCCTCCTCCTGGGACTTGGGGTGGCTCTCCGCCTACACCTCCCATACAGAGGGGCCAGGCTTCAACTGAGGTGCGTGGCCATGAATTTAAAGTGTGGTTACCACACAGAATTAGAACCACAGAAGAGAAGCCACAGCTTTATCACACATGGCAACAGGGTGACGTGAAAGGGTCTTTGAGCGAGTTCCACGGCAACGCATCTCTCCCCACACCGTATGAGGGGAATGGGTAAGTTCTGTTGCACTGGTCAAGGGTAGTCATGGAAGACAGATGGCTACTGAGGTAGGAAAAAAAAATGTGGCCCAAGATCAGTGTGGCCACAGCCAACAAGCTAAGAAGGAAGATCTGCAGACAGAGACAGGCTGGAAAGCTTCCCTGGCTGCGCCTGGTTTGCAGCTGACTGTTGCTGGCAGTTTCTTGTCCCGCCAGGTCCCGCTGCCCTTTCTCAGCCCCAAATGAGCAGACAGACGCTATATTAATTATTAAACTGTTGGCCGATGGCTAGGGATTCTCATTGGCTGGCTCTGTCTTAACCACTAACCCATACGTGTATCCTAGCCTCTTACTCCTTCCATGGCATCTCGTCATGATCCCTCTCCACCTCCCTTTCCCAGAATTCTCCTCGTCTCCTAGCCCTGCCTGTCTTCCTGCTTCTGTTGGCCAAACAAACAGTGTTTTATTCATCAACCAGTAAGAGGAACACATGTACAGAAGGACGTCCCCCATCAGCTGACCTTACACATGGGACTTTAGCAGCACAGTTTGGGGCCTCAACTATCAAGGGGCCCAAGACACACCATTCAGAATGGCTGTCGTGGGCTAGAAAGGCTGAGTCCCTATTATCCTGTGAGGAGAATTCCTATGAATCAAGAATTTCTATGAATTAAGGAAATGTGAATGGGAAAGTGCTTCATGCAGAGAATGGGAACTAAATAGACACAAGCCAGGGAAAGGGAAGGAAAAAGCAGCATGGGCGAAGACCATACACTATTAAACGCTGTCTTCATCTTCCAAGCTCATTGCTATTTTAGTAATCACGGTATTAAAGCACGATGCTTATTTCATCAGGTTTTGTAAGGGACGTTCTAGAACCCAGTGATCCATGAGTCACAATAATATGATAGCCTATTATTTGAATGAGCAAAATGCAAAATAATTCCTAGCAATCTGGAATCATGTCTAGTTCAGTCCTATGGGTCCATGGCAGAACAGTTTCATGCTATAGGGCTGGTAGGCTAATTTCTGCTTCAAGAATAAAGTTATGACAGATTGCACGGGCAGCAAAGCTTCAAATATCCTGTTCCTTAGCAACAGCAAGGTGTGCCTTCTTTGGTCTGTGTGTATGTGTGTGTGTGGGGGGCAGGCTGTCCACTTGACTGTTCTGAATCCTATTCTCCACGAGGTTAGGCCGTGCACGCGCATGTGCAGACAATTGCTTTCCAACAGTTGCTCTTACTCTAGCCTGTCCCCTTGTTGAGAATACAGGGTCTTACTTAGGGACATTAGGTGTGGATCTCTGCACGCCCAGTGACTACCCTCTGGGGAGGCTAGGAACGAACATTACTGGAGGTCCCGGGGATGAGTCAGCAGCCTCTTCGGGTGAGGGGCTTCAGAGGCTTCCTCCCCACGGTAGTCACCCCCACACTACAGTGCCACAGCCACAACCTCACCTCCCTCAGGGTCTGAGGACTAGGTTTGTTTTTCGAGGTCTCAGAGCTGTGGCCTGTGATTGGCCCTGATCTGGGAGACTGAGATGAAGATACAGATAGGCACAGACCTATGGCCTCTGCCAGAAAAGACGTTTGTCACTGTGAGGCCATCAGCTGAGCCAGGTGACCATGTTTCCTCCTCCTCCTTTTATCCAGTTTTCCTTTTATTAGGGTTACTGCAAGGCTACAGAAGTCACCGGAAGTTCTTTAAAAATAAACAAATAAATAAATAACTCACAAGAAATCCTGACATTACAGGACATAAAGAGCACCCATCAAACACATTACTCCTGGAACCCACTGGGCAGCACTTCCCATCACAGGTCATGGGAAGGAATCTAATAAGGGGAGGCCCGCTGGAAAGAAGCACCCTAAACACCACATGTCAGACAGGGTGCTTCCCCAACACTGTAACGTCTGTTCCAGGGCCGTAAAGAAAAGAGAAGCTCCAGGGCATGCTTAGTCCATGATTCCCCCCCCCCCCCGCCCCCGGGGTAAATTCCTTCAGGGACGGCATACACTTCATCTCTGCTGCACAGACACACCCTCAGAGGGACCATCTCAACTTGAGAGAGGAAATCACTAAGTTTAACATTCGTCGTTGAGCAAATGATTTTACTTTAAATTTTGTTGTTGGAAAGAACTTGAGCCAATGATGGTAAAAAAAAAAAAAAAAAAAAAAAAAAAAAACCAAGACTTCTAGACCGTTCTCCATATTCTGTAACAGAAGCTGCGATGTCTACCTAGAGAGTACAAGTGCACAGGAGGGGTATGAGGAGGAGGGGGAAAGGGAAACGGGGGAGAAGAAAGACAGACTAGGAGGAGAGGAGAAGTGAGGAGGAGGAGGAGGAGAGAGGAGGGGTTAGCAGGGGAGAGATACAACACCGAGGCCGGAGACACACAAGTAACGCTGCATAATTGTAGAGCTAGAATATAACCCAGGGAAGCCACCGCATGGGAAGGGACAATCTGCAGAAAGTTAAAAATGAAACTGTCCCATGAGTCAACAATGTCACTGATGGGCTAGAATGTCTGCCCAGCAAACCCAGGGGTCCCCCTGTCTCCGTTTCTCCAGTGCCAAGACAGCAGGCACATGCCACAGCAGCCCTGGGGTCCAGGTTCAGGTCTTTGTACTTTCAGCGAAGGCACTGTGACAACTGAGTCATTGCCCCCCACCCCCAGCCAATGACGTGAACAAAAATTACCCAGAGGTAACTCACACTAGTGAAGGACTCCCCTTCAGTGCTGAACCTGTGTGCATGGGCGGAATTCATTCAGACTTGCCCCAAACACGGCACATCCACATATAATGGCCTAGCAGTCACCGCGAAGGCACGCAGAGGCTTTGGGGCAGCATTCTGCGGCTTTCTTGCTTACACATCTCCCCCTGAAACCCTAAGTGCTAGCCAGGCATGCAATCCCAGGATTTAGGATATGTGGGGGTGGGGGGAATCAAGAGCTCAAGGCCAACCTGGGCTACGTGAGTCCCTGTCTCAAAACACTGAGCAAACAAAACCTCTAGCTGCTTTTGCTTTCCTACAGTTCAACCAGTGGTCTTGTGAATTTTTATCACCAAGTCTGGGAAAGACGAGAATAACCCAGGTGAGAGGCAATTCCCCGTCAATCAATATTTTCTAGCGTTTACCTTTGATCATTTTTAAATGGTTGAACTTAACAATTTTGTTCAGTTTTATAATTTTTTTTTCTGAATGGAGTAGAAACCATCAAATTTAATATAGTCAGGTAGATATGGAGTCTCAATCATACCTTAAACACTTGTAAGTATATTTTCATTCAATATAACATTGTATCAATTAAATTCCTCCAGATATTAGCCAACCATACCAGGAGGAAACCTTTATTTTTACAAAGTGTCTAGACACAATCAAAGAAATTACACACAGCTGGAAGATGGCTCCATGACTAAGAATAATTGCCATCCTGCCACAGAAGTAGAGTTTAGTCCCCTCCCCGCCCCACCCAGTCAGCCAGCTCATAGCCAACGGAAACGCTACCTCCAGGGGATTGTACACCTTTCTTTGGCCACCACAGGCGTCTGTACACACGTGGCAAACCCACAGAGAGACACATGCATATATGCATAAATAAGAATAAATCTTTTAAATGAAGACATGATAAAATTAAGACAGGCATGGTCTATTAGACCTGCTAAAGGCTTTTAAACATATATATGTATATATATATATATATATATATATATATATATATATATGGAAAACTTAATTTGCAAAGTTTTGTGAGTAAGTAACATGTGATTTTTGACTCAGACCCCACTAAAAAAAAAAAAAGGAGGAGCAATAAGAGAGGTGATACGTCTTCAATATGAGAATCCATTTGCTCTTAGAGATTACCTTGAAGGCTGCCATGCAGTGTAGGCTCAGTAAGGCCATGACCACTGCCAGAAGGATGGTAGCAAGGTTCCTCACATCCCATATGGTCTCCACCAGAGGGATGCTGCCCACTTGCCAGTCGTAGCACAGGGTGATGGGTGCCAGCAGAAGCCATACATTGAAGGCCAGGAGGTAGGAATAGGTAAGGAACCTACGAAGAGAACAGTTGTGAATACACCTTCCCACATGTGCAAACACTTGCTTACCACAGGTCTAGGAAACGGCATGTCTGTTCTGTGGCCGTTTGTGGCAGAGGAAGACAGGGAAAGACATCAAACTGTCTACTAAACTGCTCGCCTGGGAACCTAGCTCAGTGTCTAGCCACTGTGTTTGACGCTGACTTCAACAGAAAGCAAACAAGACACAGTTCCTACGGAAGATATTTAAATTTATCACACAAGTAAATATGAAAAAAACACACTCTTGCTTTGTAGGGAACCCTGCCTCTTAGACTGTCTCGTCTTGCTATTGGCCAGAATCTTACAGCACATTTGAAAATATCTCATCACCTTGATAGCAGATTGATCGAGATGAAACTGCTTCAGAAAGAAAACGTGTGGTAGGGAGAGTAAATCTCGTATTCATTCACAGCTGGTAGGGCAGGAGACAGAAGGGCAGGAAGACAGTGGGTGGGTTCTTATCCCTACTTCCTGTGGAGGACAAGGCTCTATGGTGAAGTAGGAGGTATTCCACTTGAACGTCTTTCTTTGGGGTTGGAGGAAAGAGAGGCTACCCAGATTCACTTAGCCTATGCCGTCATTAGGCAGTGTCCAGAGTCCTCGAGAACTCCAGGGCCCTCCCTCAGCACAGACTGGATCCGTCCAAACCTCTGTACTAGGAGAAGAGCAACTGCCACATGGCTTCTAGCTCCACGGAGCCACATTCTGAGACAATCTGCCCACCCCAACCTATTAAATGCTTGCCCAAGTACCTGCATGGCTGAGCAGAGAATTTGTCCTTTGTTCTAGTCAATGCCTGACGGGCCTTTCTAAGCATCTCCACCCCACCCCTAGACTGCGCATAAAAGGGGTTTAGGATTGTGACTATATACCTTAAAACTGGAGTGAATAAGACACCTTAGCAGGCAGAGTCCTCCACACACAAGCGTGAAGACCCGAATTTGATCCCCCAAACCCACTTTAAAAAGTCCTGGCGAGGTGGAAACGTGACAACCCCCAGAACTCTATGGACAGCCAGCAAAACCTGTTTAGTGAGTTCTAGGCCAGAGAGATCCCATCTCAATGGAGGTGGGCACTGTTTCTAAGGTAGAAGGTGACCTCTGGCCTCCAGACACACATTTATTCCTATATCCAAATGCACACGTGCCTATATTAAACAAACAAACAAGCAAACAAACCCAGAATTATCATTCTTCAGGATCTAAAAGCCATGCTTTAACTCCAACCAACGGGGAAGGCTGAGGAATCTGTCTCTAGTTCAGTGTGGAGGTGGTGGTGGTGGGGCGGATAGGTTCCTAACTTAGTAACTGCCAGCAAGCAGATAAAGATGACACCTTTATACGAATCAGAATGGACTCAGATCTTCCTCCTAGTGTCAACATTTACTAAGTAAAGCCTGTTTTTTTTTTTTTTTGTTTGTTTGTTTGTTTTTTTGTTTTTTTGTTTTTTACCAGTGTAAGTGATGGACAACCTAGCTTGTTTATGACACCGACATGTAATTAAATAGAAATAGGTGACACCTTGTCTCCAAGGACTACACAATACAATAATGCAAATTATATACCCTCAAAGAACAGGGGAAAGGGAGATGAATGTCATCCCAGGGCCCAAAGAGAAGGCTCCACACAGGAGGATTTTTGCATTGGCACAGAGGCCAGAGCAGAGCAGAGTTTCTTTGTTATCTTCTGTGACTTGGCAGGATTTAAATTCACCTAAGAGTGGTGCTTGTGGATGTGTTTGAAGGACATTTCCACGGGGATTTAAAAGGGGTAGTAAGACTGAGTAAAAAAGGAGACATTACCTTCAGCACCCACAGGGGCAGGCATCTCTCTCTGCTTCCCTATTAAGATTTCAGGATTACCAGTCCCCTACAGTTCCCTAACAATCCTGCTGCCACGCCCTTCCAACCATGATGGGCCATCCCCTCAATCCCCTCAAAGTGTGAGCCCTAATGAACCCTCTCTTCTTTCTTTCCTTGAGTTTTTCTTGTGAAGTACTTTCCTCACAGCAACAGGAAAAGTAGCTAACACAGGTTCCAGGGCTGTGAGTGAAACTCAACAACTCCGGACCAAGCCGCCTCTTCCGTTGCCATCCCTTACAGTGACAAATCACCCATGTCAGAGATCCGCCTGCCTCTGCCTCTGCCTCCTGAGTGCTGGGATTGAAGGTGTGCACTGCCACCGCCCGGCTTGGGTTAGTTTCTTAAACAAGCACATGGTAATGGGGGACATGCACAGTTTAAGAACGTCCTAAGGGACACACCAGGGCACAGACTCTATTTACATAGTATAGTGGTTAGTGTGGACTGTCAGAATCACCTGGAAGACCAGCCTCCAGGAATATCTGTGAGGAATTATTTAGACCAGGTTAGCCCCTTGGTGTGCCCTGTGAGACTATCCCGATGGAGGCAAACTGAAATGGGAAGACCCAATCTAACAGGTAGGTACCAGCGTTCCCGCGGCCTCAGCCTGCACTAAGCAGAATGGAGAACTTTAGCTGAGCAGTCTCAGCTCTGGCTCTCCACCCCCTGGTCCCAGGCAGTCACAACTCTCTCTCTCTGGCCCCAGTCTGATCAGCCGCCCCAAGTTCCAGCCACTGTTACATCCTCACCATAATGGCCTATAAGCTGGAACTCTGAGCCGAAACACAATCTTTCTCCCTTAAGTTGCTTTTGTGAGGGAATTTTAACAGCACCAGCAAAAGTAACTAAGAAAGAGGCTAATTCAATAAAAAGCTATTAAACTAAGCTTTTATTATATAATTGGAAGAAATTATAGTATTAATGGATAATAAGGCTGGATACAGAAACTCATCATTAAAGCTGTTTTTTTTTGCTTGTTTGTTGAGATAAGGTTTCTCTGTTCAACAGTCCTGGCTGTCACGGAACTCACTCTGCAGACCAGGCTGGCCCCAAACTCACAGAGATCCGCCTGTGGCTGCCTCCCGAGTGCTGGGATTAAAGGCATGAGCTGCCAACACCGCCCGGCTTCACCATTAAGTTTTAAAGTGTGATGTTATAGGATGGAAGAACACCACGAGAAATGAACGAGTTGAGCTTATCAGAGTCACGATTCAGGATCTGCTTCAGTGTAACTGACCAGGCACAGAAGGGAAGAGGAGGGATGCAAATGGACCAGATGGCTGAGGAGTGTGCGTGCTCAAACTGACGGTCATGTGGGTGTCTGCATGCATGCCACCTTCTCTACCTTTGCGTGTTTCTGACATATGGGTGTCTGCATGATACCTTCTCTACTTTTGCGTGTATCTGACATGAGAGTATCTACATGCCATCATCTCTAATTTTGCGTGTTTCTGACATGTGGGTGTCTGCATGCATGCCACCTTCTCTACTTTTGCATGTACCTGACATCTTTCATGACAAAAATCCTTACACAGAGGGAGATGACAGAACGGCTCAAATGTCTCATTTCTAGCTACATTTGGCTCGTGGGATATTTGCTAACTCTACGTAGGGCTTCTTATTTGAAGTCCATATGTTTGCTTTGCCCTGCAAGTTTCCTTCCCGTGCTTGTTTTCCAGAATTGCAATGTTGTTCCAACTAAACAAAAATTAAGATTCATGTTTTTTTTTTGTTATAATGTTAATGAGAACAGAGTAAATCACAGACAAGAAGCAGTCACTGGTTTCCAATTTGTATGGATTGTGATCATGTAGCTAGCAAACTCTTTAAGTGCTTTCTGAGATAGGGACACAGCGGCGGAAAAATGTTTTGCAAATATAAGCAACAAAGCCGCCATTTGGAACCACTCCAAAAGCTAATTATCTTTTAGGGAGGGCTATTTGAGCTAACCGTGATCAACAATTACAGGCTTTCTCTTTACCTCCTTCTCTATGAATTACATTCCAAATGTTAAAAATTTAGAAATGAAGTAGCCTGGGCATGTTTCTGCCCTGCTGGGCTCTCGGTTTTTTGTTTTGTTTTTTCAAGAACAAAAACGAAACGAATTATTCACGTACTTTCTACTACTAATCCCATTAACAGGGAAACCACACACACACACACACACACACACACACACACACACACACACACACAAAGTCTTGCCAACCAAACAGAATGTACAACTCAGAGAACTGGAAATTCAATGTAAACAATTATTTAATGATTAATTTTTTTTTTTTTTTAACTGAGAACCGAGGAATGACGGAAGAAGGAGTGGCTGCTCATGCTCACAATCCTGTAAGTCGGGAAGCTGAGGCAGGAGGATGACTGCCACTTTGAGGTCAGCCTGATAAGAGTCTGGAGTCGCCTGAAAAGGGGAGCCTAAACTCTAAACTGAGGAACTGCCTGGATCAGGTTGGTCTGTGGGCGTAACTATGAGGGATTGTCTTGAGTGCTGATGGGTGTAACGGGGCCCAGCCCACCGTGACCACCAGCCCAGCCACAGCTACAGAGAGAGAGCGAGAGGCCCGGTCAAACACACATCACGACAGGAAGATACCGTTACAGAATTACACAGAAAGGACAAGCTTCCCGGGGAAGAGCAGCTCCTGCTGAACCTGTGTGGCTCTGGGAACCAAACTCTTCTTCTGTGTCTTCGATTCAAAGGCAGAGACACACAGGCTGCTGCTGTGCCTGTGCCTCTGAGCGAAGCTTTCTGGTTGAAGCAGAGGATGAGCCCACCTCACTCCTTGCCTATGACGGGCATGTAGGGAACAGAACCACACCACAAACAGTAGCTCTGCCTTGTTTTACGTGAAGAATGTTGGAGCTCCGTCCATTCTCCCTGTTAAACAGCCCCCTCCCGCTGATGCACTGAGTCTCCCGTAAGTGGACATCCGGTTTGGCCTTGTGTTGACTGATAAGGTCAGTACCACCATGAACTGCTGAAATCAGATGCTGACATCACTAACCACTGGGCGTCTGGCCCTGCTGGACGGACTTACCTGGACCCACCAGGTTTGGGTTTAGGGTTGTGGGTTTTGGTGATCTTTTCTGCCCTTCTGTAGC